GAGTCGAGTAGTTTGAATCAGCTCCACCCCTAATGTATAGTGTGATATGTTTGGCGTTGTGCCATTGATGCATGTTCGGTGATTGGCCTATTTTGATATCGCAACTCCTTACTTTCATGCAGAGGTGACTCCCAATCCAAGAATAGCTGTCATCTGGGAGCAGTATTCACAGAGCACTATTAGGTGCTCTGGCACACCCCTTTTTCTGCCTCATCTATTTTCCCGTCTTTTTTTTATACTAAAAGAATTTAAGATTTACAAATGTATGAGCACAATCCTTGTTTGGATTGTTTGTTTCAGTCGGAAAATATTGTCGTTTTCCATGATCACATTTTCCTATCATCTTTTTCCCTCACATATATCAAATCGCTATAGTAATTTTTCCATGAAAAATGACGGAAAATGCAATCCAAACACAACCTTTATTTCTTAATAAGTGAATTTTCACCTTCACTAGTTCATATTTAGACCTTCACTACATTTTATGATTTTTCATACTTAAATGTTAGGGATAATTTAAGAAACCTCCCTTGAAATTTGTAACAATTTCAGTGCTTTCTCTTGAGATTTTAGAAATATCTCTTACCTCTCGTATCGGCTATTTGGGATCCAATGATTACCTCATTGATGCTCAAATGGCGTTATTACCCTTATAACATAGGAAATTTAACATGGTTCTATGGAGATAAATAATTTAGCCACTTGTACTAAATTAACCATTATTTGGAATGTAAAAATTTTGAAAATCTTGAATACTAAAAAATCTTGAATACTAAATTTTATAATGATAATTGTTAACATTTTAAAAATTTTTTCTATATTTTAGTAGTTCTTGTAATTTCTTCCCCCAAAAAAGATTAAAATTTCTATTGAGACATTATTATTTCATAAATTTTTCATGAAAATAACAAGATGAATATGAAAACACACATGTTAAAATATGTTTACAATTAAATATTATTAAGTTACAAATAAAATGTAACTATACACAATCTATTCTTTCCTTTCTTTTCCAAAATATTTGGTATTTTTTTTATTTTCTTTGTATACGTAATTCAAACAAGATGTTTGGAAATTATTTTCTTTTGCTTTAATTTACTTGTTTTTCTATTAAAATCATTTCCTTTCTATTAACCCAAACATGCTTGAAAGTTATTTTTTTATTACAAATGATGAAAATTTCTTAGTAATCCTGTGAAATAATGGACCTCATAAGTAAAAGAACTAATTCAAAGAACATAACATATTTTAGCATTTTTTTATTTCTTCTTTTTTTTTCTTGAAGAGATTTTTTTTTTCTTCCAAATCTTGTTCAAAATCTTCTGAATCCTAATACTAAGAGTTTCAAGTTCCAATACAAAGAGAAATTCCCAATACTACGTGTAATTATTGATTCCAAATTAACAAAACTTCCTCTCTAATTCTTTAATTCTACTATTTTATGCAATTCTATGGAAAGTAATCATTGTTACTGAATTTTACTGTGCTTATGCTAGTGTTATAATATTCGTCACTTATATTGAGACTCTCAAACTTTAGGTCTCATTTGGGTTGCAACTTTTTAGAGTTTTTATAGAAAAATATGTGATATCAATGTGATATATATGAAGTAAAAAGATGATTAAAAATATGTAATAAAATTTTTTGCACAAAAATAGTAACCCAAAAATGCTTTTAGTCTTTATTTTCTATTTTAACTAATATTCCCTTTTTATTATAAGTCAACCCACTTGTAATAAGGTGAAGGGCACTTTTGGAATGAAATATTCTTCTCACTCTTGAAATCATTTTTTTATTGTTGATTTTTTAGAATTGAGCTAATTTGTTACAAGAAAATTAGTTTTAAGGGAGGTTAGTGATTTTTTTAAAATTTCAAGGGATCATAGTGAAATTGTAAAAAACCTCAAGGGAGATTTCTGAAATTATCCCTAAACGTTATTATGACTTGATCAAGTGTGTCTTCCATCATAAATATATTTTCCAACACATTTTTTTTAACTTCTCAATTACCTTTTTAGTTCACACACACACACACACACACACACACACATATATATATATATATATATATATATATATATATATATTACATCGTAAAAAGTACTACAATAATTATTTTAAATAATCTCCTATCCAAATAATATCATAACAATCAACATGCTGAATTTGAAGTTTGGACAGAGGTTTTCTTATTTTTTGTAAAAGAGAAGTATATTCTTGTAAATCTTTTTTTTCCAATGTTGATTGTTGCAAGCTTAAAGCCTCACTATTCAACCGTTGCGATTTGCGAACCATTCCTCAGCAAATGCTGCCTTCATTCAAGAAAAGGCCATAATTGCTGCAAGGCCGCTTTTGTCCGTTTACTATACCATCTTGGGACTTAAATCAGGAAGTACATAGAAAAGAAATATACTGTAGTACTTGTTACTGTAGAAAGGAAATATACTGTAGAAAAGAAAGTAGTCATTGTTACTGAATTTTACTATGCTTATGCTAGTGTTATAATATTCCTCACTTTAATTGAGCCTCTCAAACTTTAGGTCTCATTTGGATTGCGACTATTTAGAATTTTTATAGAAAAATATGCTGTATCAATGTGATATATATATGAAGTGAAAAATGATTTAAAATATGTAAGAAAAATTTTTTCACAAAAATAGTAACCCAAAAATGGTTTTAATCTTTATTTTCTATTTTAACTAATATTTCCTTTTGATTATAAGTCAACCCACTAGTAACAAGGTGAAGGGTACTTTTGGAATGAAATATTCTTCTCACTCTTGAAATCATTTTTTATTGTTGATTTTTTAAAATTGAGCTAATTTGTTATGAGAAAATTAGTTTTAAGGGAGGTTAGTGAGATTTTTAAAACTTCAATGGATAGCAATGAAACTGTAATAAACCTCAAGGGAGGTTTCTGAAATTATCCCTAAACATTATTATGACTTGATCAATTGTGTCCTCCATCATAAATATATTTTCCAATACGCTTTTATTTTAGCTTCCCAATCACCTTTTTATCTCACATATATATCACATCGTAAAATTTACTATAGTAACTATTTCAAATAATCTCTTTTTTTTTTTCAAATAATCTCCCATCCAAACAATATCACGACAATCAACATGCTGAATTTAAGTTTGGACAGGGTTTTTTTTTTTTTTTTGCAAAAGAGAAGTATATTCTTGTAAATTTTTTTTTTCCAATGTTGATTGTTGCAAGCTTAAATCCTCACTATTGAACCGTTGCGGCCATTCCTTGCCTTCATCCAAGAAAAGACAAAATCGCTTTTGTCCATTTAATTAACCATCTTGAGACTTAAATCAGGAAGTACATAGAGAAGAACTATGCTGTAGTACTTAAGAGTCTCATACCGCATTCCCAAGATCTTGTTAGTGGCAATTGCATAATGTACGTCCTGTGCATTAAAACAGCATATTACTAATACAATAGCATGTAAAAATAATATCTTAATCGTGGGTACTAATATAATATCTACATATTAGATTTGTATATTAATACTAGTTTATTTAGGCCTCATGCGTTGCGTGAGGGTGTCCAATTTTGCTTATGATTTTAGTGGAAAATGTGGAATATTTAAACAGAAGTAATGTGTAGTTGTAGCTAAGAAAGTAGCGCTCAGTTTAGGTTACAAAATGCCTGAGCAAGGGGCTCTTAATAAGCTGTAGACAAAACGAAGTGCGGTGATTTAGTAGATTTGTCTGCTTTCTATTATGCACATTGTTAGCTGTTAGTTAGCTTTGTGGTGCTGTGCTTGGCTGGCTATGGTTTCTGTCAGTCGCTTTTTTGTATTGCCGGAGCTTCCTGCTCTAGTGTTCTTATCTTGGAAATGCTCTCTAGTCATCAGAATCCTGTGAAGATTGATTGATAGTCCTCTCCTGTGGTGAAGATTGATTGTTGGGTGGTGATTTTGTGAAAAGAAGCAAAAACAGGCAAGCATAATAAGCAACGAAAAAATCCATACAAAATTAGCTCCATGCATCCAATAAACGAAGCTGAAAACAAAAGCTTCTTCAATCCAATAACTTGCATTTTCACTTATAGTTACTGAATCCACACATGCAAAGGCAAATCACCACTAATTTCAAAACCTGGGCTAATCACCCATACTTTCAAGTTGATCTAACATGCAACTCTATGGACACATTCTAAAGACAACACGATTTCGTAAAAACAAGCAGTTATAGGTGACCATATTACGCAAACAAAGTTTTCATACAAAATTCCAAATGAAAACAATGAATAGGCAAATGCAAAAGGAAACAACAATGAACAATAAATAAGAGAGCAACTTACCAACAGCATTCAAAGTTAGCGCAGAGCAACTGGAAAGCAGAGAAAGTATATATAATTTAATACCTACAGAACGTGCAAGCCATATTATTGAAATGAAAGCAAAACAGCTGACATGATCTTCATTTTATAGGAGAAATTTGAGCGCTTTGATACAAGGAATTCACAACAACGGACCAAGAGAGTGCCAGCAAAGAAAGCATCAAAGAGCTTAAACAAAGCATGCAAAGTTGCTTAACACTTAAATAATAGACGCCTAAGCCAACCATTTTACTGTCTTGCCAAAAAGGGCATTACAGTAAAAACAACCCATGCCTAACACAACTAACAAACTTCAGCACCTTCACTTCACTGCCACGTCAGCAACAACATTTGCAAATTTCCAAGGAAGTCCACGCACTAAAGGTGCCTATAGGGGGACCTCAGGTTACTGTTCTTAACATCAACTCCCGTCTTTATATTCTTTGGATTTATTCTTATTCGTTGTTTGTTGTTAAGTGTCAACATCTGTCGTGCTAATTCAAATCATTATGACACGATTGTCACTCACAATGGTCGGAGAGCCATCCCACTTGAAAGTTGGGACTGCCCCAAAAAATAAAAATCACAATGGTCGTCTTTCTGTCTCTGTCGTTAATCCTAGTATATGAAGGGGCAGTCTCTGGACTGAAGAAGGCTCAAAGCTCTTCAGCTACGCATATACAAAGAGAATGGAAGAAGGGTTGTTAGTGAAAGAGAGAGAAGTGAAGGCAGAAAGGCTAACATGGGGACTTATAGGCCAAGAAATGAAGAGACTTTGCTGCGTAGCAGGACCTATGATGGCTGTGACTCTATGCCAGTTCTTGCTTCAAGTCATATCTTTGATGATGGTTGGGCACTTGGGTGAACTTTCACTTTCTAGCTCCGCCATAGCCATTTCTCTTTGTGCTGTTACTGGCTTCAGTCTTCTTGTGAGTAGCCTTTACTTTGCCTCTTTTCTTGGCCTTATTGTTTTTTTATATGCTTGTGTTTACATGTGGGCTGCTTCTACTTTCTGTTCTATTTTCTGTCACCATAGCATTCTTGTCACAGTTTTTTCGTTTGATATGTTCGAGGTAGAAGGAATGAAGGGTAATTAAAACTTAAAATTCAATCCCAATCTTGATAAAAAAAAAAAAAGGTCTGATGATTATTGATTAAAAAAATGTTTACAAGATTTAGCTTCACAACTATGCACTTCTTTATTCTTTTCCTCCTTCCCTCTGACAATATTGTGAAAATTTTAGATGTTGTTGCTTTGAATAAAGTGATTATTCTCTCTCTCTCTCTCTCTCTCTCTCTCTCTCTCTCTCTCTCTCTCTCTCTTTTTAAAAACATTTTACAGATAATTGAACGATGTTACCAGTACAGTAGTTCCAATATGGTAGTGCTCCAAGTCAAATGAATAAGGATTTTGGAGGTTGAATAGAACCATTAGTATCGTTACGTAGTGAAAAATCATTAGCTTTATACAAGGATTTCTCATTTTCGTTTTATTCTTCATTTTTCTTGTCATGATTAGTGAAGAGAATAGAAGATATGACTGTTGAATATTTTGATAGCACGAGTCAAAGAACTTTTAGAATTAGGAATGTTATGATTGGAAAGAATACTTTGCCAAATTCCCGTGGAGATACTTTTATTACTTAAATATCTCCTTATCAATTTCCTGTTGATTAGTAGTAGGCAGTAATGGTGTACTTTGTTGTAACACTTCAGCTTGGATGATAAAGGTCAAAATCAAAGTGGATGATAATTTTTGCCATCGGTGGTTGATTAAATAAATCTTAGCAATGGTTGAAAATTGACCAGCACCATTTACACCTTATGTAGCAAGATAGAGAAGTAGAATTGTCAAATTTTGCACAATGCAGGTAATTGGGATTTAGGGCCACAAGATAACAGAATTACATGTCTTGATCTTTCCTTCTACCAATCTAAATTCCTTAGGCATTTTCAGAAGACACAAGGAAATGGTTTTGCTATCAAAAGAGAGTATAGAAATGTGAAAAAGTTGAATGCTCTTGCTTCTTCTTTTTTTTTCTTTTTTTTTTTTCATTTTGGTAATTCAGAGTACTTTTTGCTAGTTGTATTAGCAAGGATGGTTGGTTATTTATGTGCATACAGTCACTTTGAAAAAGAGATGTCACCTTCTCTTTTTGGTAGCGCTGCTTTCTGACTTTTAGTGACAATACAGGGTAAAGCACTTAGGCAATTGTGACTTGTGGAACCATTGTGTGTAGCACGGTTAAAAAGAAAGTTGACTTTTTACTATTCTAAATGGAACTGTATGTTGTTGGAAGTATGACACATTTTGCCTCCATAAATTAGACAAGTCTTTGGAAGATTTTATTTTGGTAGCAAAGAAACGTAAAAGGAAAAGTGTTCTCCATAATTATTCATTTCATAGGTGATGGATAAGTAACTGCGGGATTGTACTTCATAGTCACCAGTTATGCAGGAATATGAGTGTCAACTTTCAGATGGTCATGGTAGAGAAAAGTAAAAGAAGAAGCCTTCACCATAATTTTTATTGTATAGGTGATAGCTAAGCGACTATGCAACTGAGCAGCTCTAATCATCAGTTGTGAGGGAAGATGAATTTCAACTTTCAGATACATGGTCTTGCCCAAAAATTTCGCTTTGCTAACTTTTTTCGGAGATTCTGTGACATTTGTCCGTTATGATCATGATGATGAAAAGCGGAGGCAATTACATTCATATGCTTACAGCATAGAGAATTGAAGATGTAAAATTTTCAAGACTATTGCTGCCATCTTATATGTGATTAGAAGATTCCTGGCATGACAAAGAGTTCTATTAAGTACCCCTGAATACACCTCATTAGAAAACAAGTATCTACATATACAACTCTAGAAAAGCTGTGTTTTTTGGTTTGCTCAATGCTGCCAGGCCATTTAATCCGGTGTAGATTATGAACATGGCTGGTTTTTGGAAGAACTGATGGGGAGATGACAGTGGGAGTGGCAATGGTGATAAATGGTGGTGGCTTTAATTTGCTAAAGTAGACCGGGTATAGTACAGAAATGACTAGGTGTAGTACGTTTGACGTAGATGCATTAATTTGAAGATAAGATTAGTGACTTACTATGAGTTCGTGAAATGATTCTAATCAAAATGAACTATTCATTTTTTAAACAGTCAGGGATGGCAAGTGCTCTCGAAACTCTATGTGGGCAAGCTTATGGAGCTCAGCAATATCAAAAGTTTGGAACCCATACGTATACTGCTATCTTTTGTCTCCTCATTGTTTGTATACCTCTCTCTATCGTCTGGATGTACCTGGGAAAAATTCTCGCTTTGATTGGACAAGATCCTCTGATTTCACATGACGCTGGAATATTTGCCACCTGGCTTATTCCAGCACTCTTTGGCTATGCAACTCTTCAACCACTTGTTCGGTACTTTCAAATGCAAAGTCTGATTTTTCCCATGCTCATAAGTTCCTGCATCACAATTTCTTTCCACATACTCATATGTTGGGTGCTTGTATACAATTCTGGATTAGAGAATCATGGAGCTGCATTAGCTATGGGTATTTCAATGTGGTTGAACGTAATTATTCTCGGTTTGTACATGAGCTGCTCTTCTTCCTGTGAAAAAACCCGTGCTCCAATTTCAGGGGAGGTGTTATATGGAGTGAAAGAATTTTTCCGATTTGCTATTCCTTCAGCTGTCATGTTATGGTAATCTCTATGTTTGCATTTTTTTTTGCATGTATTTAGGGCCTCAGAAATGAAATATCTCTAGGTTATAAAGAATGATGCTCTGATAATTGCAGCCTTGAATGGTGGTCATATGAGCTTCTGATTTTGTCATCAGGCCTTCTGCCAAACCCACAGCTTGAAACTTCTGTCCTCTCTGTATGGTACGTCCTTCTCAGCCTTCTCAAAGAAACAAAGGGATAGATTGATCTTGATGCAATAATCTTACTTTTCATTCGAAATCTCTGAACAGCCTCAACACTATCATTACACTCTATGCAATACCATATGGACTTGCTGCAGCAGTAAGGTATGTTGAGCACATGGGGAATCCATTTCTGCTGATGGTTCTTTGGTGCATGACAAAAATATACGGATGTTAACTGTTCATTTGTTTTCCTTCAGCACCAGAGTTTCGAATGAGCTAGGAGCAGGAAACCCAGAAGGTGCTCGAGTTTCTGTAATTGGTGTTTTGCTTCTTGCTGTCACAGAGGTGATAATTGTTGATGCAGTCCTCTTTGCTAGCCGGCATGTTTTTGGTTATGTTTTTAGCAGTGACAAAGATGTTGTGGATTACGTCACAACTATGGCTCCCTTGGTTTGTCTATCTATTCTAATGGATAGCTTACAAGGAATCCTTTCAGGTAATGGTTTATTCTCTTTTGTTTTGCTTTCTCTGCATTGTGGTATTGGAGGAAAAGGGGAGAGGGGATTCAGGTTGGATAATTGGCCGCTGTTGCCTTATGATCTAATTGCTTCTTTCAGCTGTTGCAAGAGGATGTGGCTGGCAGCATATAGGAGCCTATGTCAATCTTGCATCATTTTATCTTGTTGGAATTCCTAGTGCTCTTATATTGGGTTTCGTGGTAAAGATAAGAGGGAAAGGTCTTTGGATCGGAATCCTATCCGGTGCTACCGTACAAAGTTTGCTGCTCTTTATTGTAACAATGTGCACAAATTGGGAGAAACAGGTCTTCTGTCTGTCATATTTCTTAACTGTTTTGAGCTACTTTCACCAAATCTTGAAATGTTTTAATTCGCTTCATCACTTAAAAGCCTCCATTTGATGCAGGCAATAAAGGCACGAGAGAGGTTGTTCCAAGAAATTGTTTCAGCTGAAGATGGACTAATGTGATAACAAGAGCCTACTGGTAATTTGAACAGCATCTAAGCTATAATTTAAGAACTTACAGAAGAATTGGATCATAGCTCATTTTGGCACCAGAATCTCAACTGCAATTGAAATTACTTCCATTTTTTTTTTTTATCAAAACGGCAACATTAGTTCCATCAAAACTGCAATTGAAATTACTTCCATCATTTGCAGCAAATTGCTTTGATTCTGTTATGTCTACGGTGACTCCATGAAGCTGGAGCTAAGGACTATTATCACCTAAAAGTACCTCTTCTGTTTCTCTTCTCCTTTTGGGAGGTTTAGAGATAGGTTCTTACTGACTGAGAAGTTCCTCTAAGGAATAGTACTACTTTGGCTCTGCCATCTGCTGTTTCTAGAACTTCCAGAGTGAAATCCAGTCTCTACCACAGGAAAATTTACTTGGGAACAGTTTAAGAGTCAAAAGATCAAGCATATCAACAAGGTTTACAAGCACAGTATGACTGAACTCATGTGAATCTTTTGTTTTATTTTACCTAATCGGATCCGGTTGATTCACCTAACCCGTTGCGTTTAATCATTACAGCCGGCTTATATGGCCTCTCCGATTTTATTTTCAATGGTAATGTCACTCTCGGGAGCCTAGATGTTAACCATTTAGGGTAAGAAACAAAATTTTTCAGACCAGGGGTCAAAGGCGCAACGGATCTTCTGTCCCACACTCTGTGCCACTCTCTGTCCCATTTTTTATTATATTGCTATTTCTTCTTCACAAACATCATGTTTTAATTCCTTTTTATTTCTTTATGATCCAATAACTATTAATTGAGTAATACACGAAATTTAACAAACTCAAAAAATCAAAATGCATAAAAAATGAAATTTTTTATGAATTTTCTGCTGTATTTTTTAATTTTTTATTATATATTAGCTTTTTGAAACTGTTGTATTTATTTTTTACTCAATTAATAGTTATTGGATCATAAGGAAATAAAAAAGAATTAAAACATGATGTTTGTGAAGGAGAAATAGCAATATAATGGGACAGAGAGTGGCACAGAGTGTGGGACAGAAGATCCGTTGCGGGTCAAAGGGTTGTCAATAAAAAAAAAATAGTTTGGATCAATTTTTGTTCAAACACAACATATAACTTCATTTGTTTGTTTGGACGTAATTCATTTTTAACAATTTATAAATACAGAACAAAATTTTGTGAGATACACGCATAATGTTAAAATTGATGTATAAAATGTGATCTAGAACTTATTTTTTTTAGCCAAATAATAGCCAATTTTCAGAATTACCTCACAAATTGGTTGACAGCCCCTAAGTGCATGGAGGCACTGATACTGATGGTTGCATGGCTTTCTTGGATTAGGTGGCGTAGACCGAAGGAGAGGAAAGAGCCCTGCGAGCATGTGGTTGTAACATGTGCGTCCTTGTCGATGCGGATGTTGTGACGCTGCAGTCTGTGGTGGTAGCAGTTACTATGTCCACGGATCCGTGCCCAGCATCTCAATTTAATACTTCTTCTATCCCATTTTAACAGATTTATTTTTTCATATGCTTACAAAAATTAGTTAACTTATTAGAAGAGTTAAATCTAATCTACTATTTTTCTAAAATACCCTTATATTAATATTAGTAATATAACTAACCATTATATCTTTGCATTAATTGTAACAATAATATTGATAAAAAGTTGCACCATTTAAGGTATGAATCAAAGTAATTAATGAATAATATAGGTTATATTCACTGATAAAAAAGTACATTAAATAAGTGCATTTTAAAGAAATTAAAAGTTATTTATATTCTTCAATTGAAAAGTAAATTATAATTTGGGATTGATGAAAATGAAAACAAAACTATCAAAATGCAATGGAGGGGGTAGTAGTTATTACAGCATCTCAGTTTAATACTTTTGGGCTCAACTATGAAAATTTCAGAATGTTTGCATGAAATAATATTCCTTGATTCTTAGCTTTATAGTGAAGTCAATTAGAACGACCAAAAATAATTTTCATTTATGGATTTGGATTTGAAGAAGGATTAAGTAATAAGAATTAAATTAAATGAATTTCAAAATTTTTTTTAATAAAACATATCATAATTTTATTAAAATCTGCACTAATTGCACAAGTTACATCATCAAACATATACAGATATCAAAGAACATATATGAAAAATGGATACCATATATTCGAAGAACAGATAAAAATGACACTGAAAAGTTCCAAAAAAATATTTTTAAAAAATGGCATAAATTAATTGTAGTTCCACGAACATCTGTATATAGTTCTAATGACTAGATGTACTAATTAATTGTTTCAAGTTCAAATACATGGTGAGATCTGCCTAATAGATCCAAGAAATTCTATATATGATAATCAATGTCTGAAAAACATATATCTAATAAAAGAAAAATGAAAAATCTACGTAAGAAACTCTCACTAGGAATCTCTAGGGTAGAAGAAAAGCTTCACTAAAAAAAATCTAAGGGAGAAGAAAACTTTCACTAGGCAACTCTAGGAAAGAAGAAACTCTCATTAGAAAATTTTAGCAAAGACTTTATTCACACAAATAAAAAAAAAACTAGAGAGAGGACTCAATGGAAAAATATTAGAAAAATCTAATCTCTTTCTAGTAGAAGAGTTGGAGGAAGTTTTGACTAAAGAGTTTTTCTAGAAAAAAATGAAGATAGAATTTAGTTTTTCTAAAGAGATGGAAGTTTTGTTTCTAAAAATGAATTTCAAATTCTGATATTGCAAATCTTTGTCAATTTAATCACCTTATTCATGGGGAAATATTAGAAAAATCTCTCTCCCATGGGAGAGTTGGAGGAAGTTTTGACTAGAGAGTTTTTGTACAGAGAATGAAGACAAAATTTAGTTTTTCGGAACAAAAGGAAGTTTTGTTTCTAAAAGTGAATTTCAAAGTTTGATATTGCAAATCTTGGTCAATTTAATCACCTTATTTGGAAAACAGAGGATTTGAGACAATAATGATTAAGTGACTAAATGTCCCACATTGATATTCTGAAGATTTCTAACCATATTAATAAGATTTTGTGTCACTCCACTTATTGCTAATTACTTTTGAAATGAAAGTTGAAATTCTTTATCATTCCACTTGAAAATCTTGGAGTCTCCCCTAAACTTAAAAAAAAAAAAAAAAAAAGTTCTAGGAAATTCAAATCATCTCTTCTTTCAGGTTGAGAATAGCGAGTATTGCATTGTTATATTTTTTATTTATTTTTTACATTATTAAATGAAAGTATCATGCTATAAATAAACCTGCTCTATGGTTTACAAATTTCCATAATTTCGTACAACTTCATACATAAAAATGCGACCAAAAATTCTGTTCGCTGTACAATCCTAACACTAATTTAAAAATCACTTTTGTATAGTGAAATTCCTTGCACATTATTTCGTTAATAAGTCTCGAACACAAATTTTGTTCTCTCTATGATTTGTACTCTTCTACTCTGGAAACGTAAGCATGTTCTCTTGGAAGTACACCGTCTGCAGTCAGCGACAAACAAAATTTGCTGTCCTCAGCGAATTTGGAATGTGGCTGATAAGTCAATAAGATTGACTAGATGTGGGCTCTGCCACCGGATACCGATTCAAGCAGTTGGTGCAAAAAAAAAAAGCACAACGAAAACTACGAAACCAAATCCAAATGGGAAACACAGAGGCTGAAAAAATGCAAATGCGACCCACCATGTTTATATTTGTGCAGCTTTCTTCTTTTGTTGAGGTTTTGGAGTCAGCAGGACCCATAGAAACTGGCATGAAATTAGGGGTGCAAATGAGTCGAGTCGAGTCGAGTTTTGGCCTTATTGAGTCGAGCCTTAACTTAATTTCATCGAACTCGAACTCGAACTCGAGTTCGAGCTCGACGAGCTGGTAATTTTCAAGCTCGAGCTCGAAAAAAATAAAAAATAATTATTTTATTTTTTAAAAAATAAATAAAATAATATTTTTTCTTAATAAATAATAAAATATTAAGAATATTTATGTAATTTTACTATTAAAAATAAAAATAAAAAAAATAAATATATATATATATTCGAGCTCGCGAGCCTAACGAGCTTAATGTTTTGAGCTCGAGCTCGAGCTCGACTCTGGCTCGATTCGTTTGCACCCCTACATGAAATTTATACTTGTTCCTTACATTTTTTGCCGATTGAGCCATGTGAATTTTGAAACGAAAATGCACTACAAAATCAAATATGATACTCCTTAAACTCGATTACCCCGTTTACAATTTATCTGAGAGCATTTTAGTTTTGTGGACAAGAATAGTTTTCATAATGTGTACCACAATTGTGGACCGTTTGCATATATAGTGTGATAGAAATAAGAAAAATATATGTCACGGAAGTAGGTGAAAATTCGTGTAATCTTAGTAGCACAAAATTAAACATGTAGCCATTAATAGATTTCACATAACAGAGTCGTTCATCATCTTATGTTGCTCACAGTCAAATGAAGTATAAATATCCGAACTGGACTAATTAAGTGCTATTGTAGATATTAATGGTTTAATGTGCATCTCTATTCTTAATGATAAGGATCTTGTGCTGTCCTTTTCTTTCCGACTTCTTTTTATAGGGGTGCAATAATTTATGGATTAATCTTTCCTACACTGATAGTGTACAAGTGAAAGTTTATATATTATGCAAGGGTACAGAAACAATTAGAACGAATACCTCCTTACATGCAAATAAAAAGTCTCCTTTTAAATATATGTGAGCATGTTATTCTTAACGATATTTGGTATAAATGTATTATCATACAACTAGGTTAATATGGTGACAAATGTGCTAAGAGCATATTTATTCAATAAATAACAATAGTAGTGTTTCATTTACATCAAATTGAATAAATTAGGTAATATTAAACATATTGAACCAACCAAATTGGAAAATGTTTGCTTAATAATTAAAGTATCAAATCAATAAAACAATCAACTCGAATCAAGTGTCCATGAAGTTTACTTGTTTTAAGCTTCTAGAGAAACTTAAAACTGATATATTGTTAGACTTAATTGAGGGGTAAAATTTGAAATTTGAAAATAAAGTTAGAGGAAGTCAAAACAAAAGGTAGAAGAAAATATGAGTCAAATACAAATTTCCATGAAGACCCCAATTTGCTTGATACTTCCTCCATATCCAAACATCATAATTGTCAATGGGTTTATAAAAATTATTTTAATTGCTGATTACTTCAACCACGCCTAGGTCTTAAAACTAGGCCTGTTTGTGTTTGTAGCAAAAGGGACAAAAGGTCTAAACTTTAAGGAGAAGAAAAAAAGGAGAGCCATAATTTTGGTCGTTGGCATTAACTGACAGCAAGACGGACATTGATAATTTTGGTAGATTGATGGTTGAAAATTTGGAGAAAAGAAAAACTAGGCTGTAACTGTAGCAAAAATATGTTGAAATCTTTAAAATCTGGACAAACCAAAGAAACCTTTGGTTAGTGTTTAGGGGTGGGGGAAACCTTTATGGTAGGAAGCCTTTGACCCTTCCTACCGTAGTCAGTTCCTC